CTCGGGTTTTCCGGGGCCGCTGGCTGCCGCAGCCCTCCTGGGAGAGGGGTGCTCCAGGGCGGCGAGGCTGTGCCCGTAGGGAGATGTCGGGGTGACTCATGGTGTGTCAGCCCTCCTCATCCAGCCAGCAAGGGTTTTCCCGGGGTGGAGGGAAAGGGCAGCCCTGGCAAGTTGCCCCGGGGAGCGGGAGAGCCGCCCGCATCTTGCAGGGGCTGGGCATCCCGAAAGGCCTGTGGGATCTGCACCCTTCGGAGGAGGAACCGGCCTTAATCACATTTGCCTTGGGAACTTGCTCTGGACTTTCAAAATGCAGATGTTTAGAAATGTTTTTGAAATGCAGACGTTTAGAAGCTGAGCTCTTCCCTTCTGTTTATCCTTCACAGAAAGCTGGGAGAGACTCAGACTTGCTGTCTCTCTGAGGAAAAGGCTGTTTCTGTGCCCAAGCTGTCCTTGTCCTTTTTTGATGCATTGTGCATTCAATTATTAAAACACCCTTTCCAGAACAGGCAAAGGCAGCGGACAGAAAAATGAGATGAAGTTCTCTTAAAACCACCTGTACCTCAATCGCAAAAGCTGTGATGGGAAAGCTTAGTGCCTCTCGCAAGGACACCAATATCCGCAAGCAGGACCCGCTCCCGCTGCGGTGCAAAATGCCCGGTTCGCAGGGACTGCAGGAAGCCCTCCGGCACTCGCACAGCCGCTGGCATGGGGCAGCGGCTCGCGGCAGCGCCGGTGTGCGGCCATCCATCCCTGCCATCCATCCACGGGGCAGCCAGCTGCATCCCTGGGGGAGCAGCGGCCATCCTCTGGTTTCCAGCCGTAAGAAATCTCCTTCGCACAAAAGGCTTCTTCTGAAGCTGAAGTGTTACTCCGTTACTGTGCAGTTAGGTCTGGTTCCCATCATTGGATTTGAGGAAGACTGGGCGCTTTCAGGGGAGGGATGAAGGCCATTCAGCTCGTCGAGGACTGTTCTCCAAAATAGCACCTGCCCTCGGAAGGATGGTCCCTGCTCCCAGACAGGCTCCTGGAACCCCCTCTCCTTCCCTGC